CCTGACGCCGACACGAGCGAGCAACCGGTCGAGTAGCCACCTCCTTTCGCCGGCACCAACTCGCGAGCCCACAAGCCCCGCCAGGCCTTAGTCCGTTCACCAACGGCTGAGATCCACCGTGGGCGAGAATATCCCTGAGCAGATCTCCGTACGCTCTCCCACAGCAGCGAACCACTGCGCTCTCCCACAGCAGCGAACCACTTTTGCGAACTTCTTACTGCGGTTATCCACCCTCAGACGCCGCCGTCCGAGCCCTAGTGGGCAGCAGTTGGCGGACCCGGTTCGTGATTGTTTAGATGCCTCGAACCGTGAACAGTCTAGACTGTCGGAGACAGCTGCGCCCCGACAGCCTCAACTAAAATGCGCTTAGATCCGCCTAGATCCTACTGTGCGTTGCAGAGTGTGGAGCTCTCGTAGAGCCCTTTCAGATCCTAAACTCGAAATTCACCTTTACATGCGAGGACGGTAGGATGAAAGGGGCTGTACGAAAGTTCTGACACTCTACAACACACGGCGACTTGCTGGTGCATTTAGTTGAGGCTGTCTTCGATAGTCTAGGCACGTCGGTTCGAGGCGGCTAAACGATCATGAACCGGGGCTCGCAACTGCTGTCCACTGGGGCTCGGACGGCGGCAGCTGAGGGTGGATAACCGCGGCTGAACGGCTTGCAACGGTCGAACCACTGTCGCAACTGCTGTCCACTGGGGCTCGGACGGCGGCAGCTGAGGGTGGATAACCGCGGCTGAAACGGTCGAACCACTGTGGGAGAGGGTGGATAACTTATAAAATGATAATTAGAATTTATTTTAAAAACCTTACATTTATACTATTTGTATAACAATCCTTCAAATATAAAAATATATCATCACAACCTCATCAACATATTTAATTTACGAATTAGATTGTTGTTCTTGTTCCAATTTGTTCTTCAATTTCTTAGCGAATTCCCCAAAGCGCAGAATATCATAACTTTGGTGTGATTCCCCTGCTTTCAACCTTGCGTGCTCCGATATCCGCCACCGCGAACCCTCGTTCTTCCAGCGGCTTCTAGCCGATGGCGGCGGTCAGTCTACACCGTGCGACGACGGCGGCTTGGATTGATGGAGGTCAAGTCCTAGATATGCGGCACCCTGACAACAGAGAGTAGCCTAGCACGAAGTGGAGATTGTTGGCGGCCGCTTTGCTTCGGCTAGGGTTTGGTGGTTTTTCCTTTTACAGGTTTTATTGAATCACTTCAGCAAAAAACTCTTTTGATTTGTGTGTTTGCTTTAAGTATTTTCCAGGGTAAAACTATGGAGGAGTTTACAGGCACTTTGACACTTTGACAGGCGAAAATGAGAGTCGCAGTGTACTCCATCGTCCACCAGCAAAAATGGCCAGTGAATTTTCTCAACCATTAATATTCGTTAATATCGTACTGAGTTTGATTTCAGTATGTATTTGTATCGAGCGTGTTGTGCTAGCATTTTTGTTGATTCTTTACGTATGGCTAAAATTGCAATAGCTAATCTTGTGTGTTGATTCCTTTTGAAGTTTGGAGATTTGCTTATGCTTTATGCTTCATATGGTTGTGCAAACGTGTCTTTGGAGTTTTTGGACATTTATTGTGTTTGTGTGGATCAATTTCAGGTTGCTTCTTATCTTCTGAATCATGGTAAATGTTGATTAAAAAATTAATCTTTTGAGGAACTTCGTACCCCTTATTTTCCTGGGAGTCTGTTTATCAACAATAAAATAAATTTCCGCAAGTCAGACAAGTATGCTTTGGTAAATGATGATGAGTTTTCAAATGATTGTGGGTCAGATTATGATGGAAAGTCTTCAGTTAATCGAAAATGCAAGAAGCGTAAAAGACATAAGAATAAAAGAAAAAATAAAGTCTGATCATGCTGGAAACTATGAAGATGAGTTGTGTGATTTTGATTTATCAAATAACAGGCTAGATCGCAATCCAAGGGGGGTGATTGGTTGCTCTTACTGATGGATATTCTACTACATGGAGTAGTGTAAGTTCAAATGTGTCTTGAGTATAGCAGCATTTTTTACTTTCAATATTTACATTATCTGAATCTTAATGTGAGATTTGAGAGGTTGATGCAATGTTACTAGATTTAAGAGGTTGATGCAATGTTACTGTTGTTAATTTTCCTTTGTCGGTTTAAGATATATTTATTNAGTGTAAGTTCAAATGTGTCTTGAGTATAGCAGCATTTTTTACTTTCAATATTTACATTATCTGAATCTTAATGTGAGATTTAAGAGGTTGATGCAATGTTACTAGATTTAAGAGGTTGATGCAATGTTACTGTTGTTAATTTTCCTTTGTCGGTTTAAGATATATTTATTATTATGGTTGTTATGTGAAGTTGCTAATGGGACATCTCTTTTTATATTCTTTTTTGTTCTTATAGTTATGTCCATTCTATTCAAGTGTAGCATTTTTGNGACTTAGCAATTTTTTGTTTTTATGAAACAAAGGGTAAAAACGTATGTAAGTTTGCACTTTTATTGCATGAATCAATCTTAATTAATGGTGCAGTTGGAGGAGTGTATTTTGCCAAGTTGCTTAACCAGTTCTTGGCCGGAAACTGGAGAAGCTTTGCAGGAAACTAGAGAAGCTTTGCAGGCCAGAACTATTTCGACTCTAACGGGTTATTTCTCTCTGTACTATGGTCTGGGCCGCTATTGGTGATCGCGATT